CATAGGTTAAGAACCACTAGTTTAGGGCTTTATAGGTTTAAGCCAGCTCCTTGAATTGTGCCCAGAAACAAACTGGGAATCAGTGTAGTTGCTTCAAGAGCAGAGTAGTTCTTTCCATATATCCTGCTCCCGTAATAAGCAGTCTACCTGCTGACCTTTGAACCAATTGAAGTTTCCAAACGTTCTTTTGGGACAGCCCCACATACATCGTGTTACAGTAATCTAATCTGGATGTGACCAAGGCTTGTACTACCAAGGCCAGATTGGGTTTTTCAAGGAATGGGTGAAGGTGGCACACAAGCTTTGATTGTGCAAAAGCCCTCCTGGACACCACCAAAACCTGGACCGCCAACACTGAGTCCAGGAGGACCCCTAGACTGTGAACTTGTGCCTTCAGGAGGAGTGTGACCCCATCCAGTACACGTTGCAACCCCATACCTTGATCAGCCCTACGACTGACTAGTAGTACCTCTGTCTTGTCTGGATTCAGTTTCAATTTGTTCATCCTCATCCAGTCCATCACATCTGACCGGCACTGGTTCAGGATCAGGGCATCATCCTTGGCATCAGGTGGAAACGAGTTAATAGAGTTGGATGTCATCTGCGTACAAATGGCACCAAAATCCAAAACTCTGGATGATCTCTTCCAACAGTTTCATGTAGATGTTAAACAATATGGGGATGGAATTGAGCTCTGAGGGACCCCACAAGACAACGGCCATGGGGTCGAGCAGGAGACCCAAAGCTCGACCCCATGGCTGTTCTGGACCCAACCCTCTAGTAAGGAACGGAACCACTGTAGCTCCAAGTCCCATTCTTGCGAGGTGGTCCCGAAGGATACTATGGTTGATGGTATCACCTTCTGGACCCAACCCTCTAGTAAGGAACGGAACCACTGTAGCTCCAAGTCCCATTCTTCTGAGGTTGTCCAGAAGGATACTATGGTTGATGGTATCACCTTCTGGACCCAACCCTCTAGTAAAGAATGGAACCACTGTAGCTCCAAGTCCCATTCTTGTGAGGTGGTCCAGAAGGATACTATGGTCGATGGTATCACCTTCTGGACCCAACCCTCTAGTAAGGAACGGAACCACTGTAGCTCCAAGTCCCATTCCTGCGAGGTGGTCCGGAAGGATACTATGGTCGATGGTATCACCTTCTGGACTCAACCCTCTAGTAAGGAACGGAACCACTGTAGCTCCAAGTCCCATTCCTACGAGGTGGTCCAGAAGGATACCATAGTAGATGGTATCGAAAGCTGCTGAGAGGTCTAACAGAACAACAAGGGACACACTCCCCCTGTCCAGTTCCCTATGTAAAGGAAATATCTTGGAAAGGAACTGTCCTTCTGTTCATCGTATTTGAACATGGATGAATATATGGAATCGAACCTAATTTGGGGCACCTTGAAGTTCTTCTTTCCATCAATTCTCAATCCAAGTCCTCTCAACTCTTAAACTTCTTTCTGCAAACTTAGTTATTTCTCCCCCCCCCCCCTTCTTCCTGTTTTCTAGACCTTGTCCATTTACCAACCAATGTTGAAACATCCAACTCTTCCAGGTCCTTCATAGTGTTTCATACTGGTCACAATGACCTTAGACCTATTTCACCCTGAACGAGAATGAAGACGGCATTATATTAGGTGTGAGTGCCTCCCAGTGGCTAAAAATTCAGTTTGCACCCACAGGGTAGGATTGAGAGTGCAACTACGTTGTAGAATGAATATGGGTTGTCTCCACTTTAACTGCCACACCTCAATGCTATGGAATCTTGTGATTTGGTGAGGCACCAGTATTCTTGTGCAGAAAAGGCCAAAGACCTTGTCAAACTTCAACTCTTAGGCTCCCACACAACAACAATGACATGCTACAAAATCCCTAACTTGGGTAGAGCAGAGGGACCCAAGAAGGGTAGATTTGAGACATCTCGAAGCCAGTCTTCACTCCTTAATGCAATGGTTCTCAACCTGTGGGTCTCCAGATGTTTTGGCCTTCAACACCCAGAAATCCTAACAGCTGGTAAACAGGTTGGGATTTCTGGGAGTTGTAAGCCAAAACACCTGAGGACCCACAAGTTGAGAACCACTCCTCTAATGTTTCCTATTCATGGTAGGAGGCCTAACATTTCCTACTTCATAGTAGATGGTTTCTCATGCCTTGAACTCACCTCCAACTTACAGTAACAATCTCCTAGGTATATTTATTCTGAGGAAATTAACCATTGCCTTCCTCTCAGACTCACCCAAGTCATCTCATGGGTTTCTATATCTCAGCATGGATTCAACCACTGGTATCTCAGATACTTCAGTCTCCAAAGCACCATGATTAATTCTAGATACTGTTTGTTACGTGACTTCAAGGTGACCCTAATTTATGGTGATTCTCTCCTAAGGTCTTCTTGACAAGACTTATTCAGAGGTTTGCTGTTGTCTTCTTCTCAGGTGGAAAGAGTATGACCTCTCCTAGATCACTTTGTGGTTCTTATATCTGGTCTCCTTGAGTCCTACCATCTTAATAGTCTAAAACAAAAGATTACCTGGTTGGGATTTCTGGGAGTTGTAAGCCAAAACACCCGAGGACCCACAGGTTGAGAACCACTGCTCTAATGTTTCCTATTCATGGTAGGAGGCCTAACATTTCCTACTTCATAGTAGATGGTTTCTCATGCCTTGAACTCACCTCTGACTTACAGTAACAATCTCCTAGGTATATTTATTCTGAGGAAATTAACTATTGCCTTCCTCTCAGACTCGCCCAAGTCATCTCATTGGTTTCTATGTCTCGGCATGGATCCAACCACTGGTATCTCAGATACTTCAGTCTCCAAAGTACGGCACCATGATTAATTCCAGATATTGTTTGCTACATGCCTTCAAGGTGACCCTGATTTATGGTGAGCCTCTCCTAAGGTCTTCTTGACAAAACATACTCAGAGGTATGTTATTGTCTTCTTCTCAGGTGGAAAGAGTATGACTTCTAGATCACTTTGTGGTTTCTATATCTGGTCTCCTTGAGTCCTACCATCTTAATAGTCTAAAACAAAAGATTGCCTGGTTGGGATATCTGGGAGTTGTAAGCCAAAACACCTGAGGACCCACAGGTTGAGAACCACTGCTCTAATGTTTCCTATTTATGGTAGAAGGCCTAACATTTCCTACTTCATAGTAGATGGCTTGAACTCACCTCTGACTTACAGTAACAATCTCCTAGGTATATTTATTTTGAGGACATTAGCAATTGCCTTCCTCTCAGAGTTGCCCAAGCTCATCTCACGAGTTTCCATATCTCAGCATAGATTCAACCACTGGTATCTCAGATACTTCAGTCTCCAAAGTACAGGACCATGATTAATTCCTGTTTGCTATGTGACTTCAAGGTGACCCTAATTTATGGTGAGTCTCACCTAAGGTCTTCTTAACAAGACTTACTCAGTGGTTTGCTGTTGTCTTCTTCTCAGGTGGAAAGAGTATGACGTCTCCTAGATCACTTTGTGGTTTCTCTATCTGGTCTCCTTGAGTCCTACCATCTTAATAGTCTAAAACAAAAGATTGCCTGGTTGGGATTTCTGGGAGTCGTAGGCCAAAACACCAGAGGACCCACAGGTTGAGAACCACTGCTCTAATGTTTCCTATTCATGGTAGGAGGCCTAACATTTCCTACTTCATAGTAGATGGTTTCTCATGCCTTGACTTACAGTGACAATCTCCTAGGTATATTTATTCTGAGGAAGTTAACCATTGCCTTCCTCTCAGACTTGCCCAAGTCATCTCATGGGTTTCTATTAGGCCTGGGCAACCACGGAAAAATTTGTTTCTAAAATCGATTCGTTTTTTGGGTTTTTTTGCGTTTCGATATTTAAAATAATTCCGAAATTTTCCTTTTAAAAAGTTCGATATTTACGAAATTTCGTAAATGTGAAAAAATTACAAAACATTAACGAATCGATTTCCGAAACGATAACGAATCGATTCGTTAATGGCGGACGCGACCGCGAAATACGCTAAAAAAACCTCCAAAAACTTCTGAAGCTTCCCTCTCCCTCTGTTATTGACTGTTGGTGTGATATTATAATTTTTTTTCACTAATTAAACAAAAAACTTGCCCCAGACATGCGGAAAAAATAACGAAACGACCTCTGAACAATAACGAAACGAATACAATAACGAATTACGAGCATTTACGAAGCGTGTTTGAAAACTCATTATTTAAAAAAAAAGCTCCAGTATGGTTCGTTATCGTTTCGTAATTAAAAATTAACGAATTTTTAACGAATTACGAATTAACGAAACGAAACCGCCCAGCCCTAGTTTCTATGTCTCAGCGTGGATTCAACCACTGGTGTCTCAGATACTTCAGTCTCCAAAGTACGGCACCATGATTAATTCCAGATACTGTTTGCTACGTGACTTCAAGGTGACCCTAATTTATGGTGATTCTCTCCTAAGGTCTCCTTGACAAGACTTACTCAGAGGTTTGCTGTTGTCTTCTTCTGAGGTGGAAAGAGTATGACTTCTCCTATATCACTGTGTGGCTTTCTATATCTGGTCTCCTTGAGTCCTACCATCTTAATTGTCTAAAACAGAAGATTGCCATTGTAGAAGACCACATCTGAAATATGCTACACGGAACCATGATAAAGAACATTATTATTCCAATGATATAACCATTAGGAATGCATTCCTCATTAGGTAGGACTTTCCAGCTCATGGATCTTCAGCTGCTGTCCCGTCATGGTTTTCTGGCCATTAGGAAGCTTAGACATGAGGATGAGGATTTAAAGGGCATTTTTTATTATTATTCTAATTGCATCTCTACCATGGTAGGCATTTGGCATCTCCAGGCCAAACTCCTACCTCATCTCTCTTCTTTGTCATCTTGGCATGATCAAAGGCAAGTGGGTGGATCTTGGTCTTGTGGCCAGTGGTTGAATAATCTCTTGGGATCTACAAGGGAGGAAACTGGCAAAGCGTGACACATGTGACAAATCGAGACATCACGCCAGCTCACGACTGATGGGGCAACTCTGATCCATCCAGACTTGGATCTGCGACATCAAAGTCTGAGCCACACCATCTCCAAGGAGTTCCTCGAAACCCTATATTAAGAGTTGTGCCTTTCTTGGGTTCATATTCGCTGAAGTTCAAAACGTCCTCGACAGACGTATTCCACATCATCAGGTAAGCCAGAATCAGCCTTTATGGCTCTGGATAAGAACGACTTGTTAATTATGCGTAATGCAAATGTCGAAGCTTGTGGACAAAATTCATATTTGAATTACTGCTCCCAGAAGTCCTCAGCTGGTGTGGATTTAGGGTGTTGTAGACTAGGGGAGTGCACAATATTGTTTTGGTGTACCAGATTCGGGGGATTCGGGGGTTTCAGCTAACAACTCGTAAACAATAGAGTTGTACGTTTGATGCGGAAATACTAGGGCTGGGCGGTTTCGTTTCGTAATTTCGTAATTCGTTAAAAATTCGTTATTTTTTTTATAACGAAGCGATAACGAACCATTCTGGAGCAACTTAAAAACGAAATGAATTTTTAAATTCGTTTCGTAAATGCTTTGGATTTGTTATGTATTCGTTATTTTTTTTATAACGAAGCGATAACGAACCATTCTGGAGCAACTTAAAAACGAAATGAATTTTTAAATTCGTTTCGTAAATGCTTTGGATTTGTTATGTATTCGTTTCGTTATCGGTTTGAGGTCGTTTCGTTATTATTTCCGCATGTCTGGGGCAAGTTTTATAGTTGTTTTTTGTTTAATTAGTGAAAAAAAATTATAATATCACACCAACAGTCAACAACAGAGGGAGAGGGAAGCTTCAGAAGTTCCCCCTGTCCCATTTGGAGGTTTTTTAGCGTATTGCGCGGTCGCGTCCGCCATTAACGAATCGATTCGTTATTGTTTCGTATTTGTTTCATTAATGTTTCGTAATTTTTTTAACATTTACAAAATTTCGTAAATATCGAACTTTTTAAAAGAAAAATTTCGGAATTCTTTTAAATATCGAAACGCAAAAAACCCCCAAAAAACGAATCGATTTTAGAAACAAATTTTTTCTCCCCCCCCCCCTTTTTTTTTTTTCCCCCCCCATTTCACCCCCCCACAGTTATTACAGGCTAATATAGTGTCTAGTAGGGCTGGGCAACACGGAAAAATTTGTTTCTAAACTCGATTCGTTTTTAGGGGGTTTTTGCGTTTCGATTTTTAAAAGAATTCTGAAATTTTTCTTTAAAAAAGTTCAAAATTTACGAAATTTCGAAATTAAAAAATAATTACGAAACAATTACGAATCGATTCGTTAATGGCGGACGCGACTGCGCAATACGCTAAAAAACCTCCAAATGGGACAGGGGGAACTTCTGAAGCTTCCCTCTCCCTCTGTTGTTGACTGTTGGTGTGATAATTATATATTTTTTTCACTGATAAAACAAACAACAACTATAAAACTTGCACCAGACATGCGGAAATAATAACGAAACGATTTCGAAACGATTTCGAAACAATTACGAAACAATTACGAAACGAATTGAAAAATTCGTTTCGTTTTTTAGTTGCTCCTGAATGGTTCAATATCGCTTCGTTATAAAAAAACGAATTAATAACGAATTACGAAATTTACGAACAAAACGCCCAGCCCTTATATATATATATATATATATATATATATATATATATATATATATAATTTAAATCAAAAGGAGGCTGTGATTCTTAAGTTCACAGGTCAACCAAGCCCCGCTTTGTACAACAACCAATATCTTTCGAGTCATCTAGTGCACGTCTTCCTCATTCAGGAAGATTGGAAGGTGCTCCATACGAGTTAAAATTTGACCCTATTTATTTGAATATTTATTATTTTAGTAGCCGTCCCCTGCGACATGTTGCTGTGGCCCTCATGGGGGTTCTGTGTGGGAGGTTTGTTGGTGGGGTTCAGAATGTGATTGTAGGTGAACTACAAATCCCAGCAACTACAAATATCCCAAATGTCAAGATTCTATTTTCCCCAAACTCCAGCAGTGTTTACATTTGGGCATATTGAGTATTCATGTAGAGTTTGGTCCAGATCCATCATTGTTGGACTCAGTGCTCTCTGGATGTAGGTGAACCACAACTCCAAAACCAAAGGACATTGGCCATCAAACCCTTCCAGTATTTTCTGTTGGTCATGGGAAAACTGTGTGCTAAGTTTGGTTCTATTCCATAGTTTGGTGGGGTACAGAATGCTCTTTGATTGTAGGTGAACTATAAATCCCAGCAACTACAACTCCCAAATGTCAAGATTCCATTTTCCCCAAACTCCACCAGTGTTCACATTTGGGCATATTGAGTATTCGTGTAGAGTTTGGTCCAGATACATCCTTATTTGAGTCCACAGTACTCTCTGGATGTAGGTGAACTACAGCTCCAAAACCAAAGGACACTGCCCACCAAACCCTTCAAGTATTTTCTGTTGGTCATGGGAGAACTGTGTGCCAAGTTTGGTTCAATTCCATCGTTGGTGGGGTTCAGAATGCTCTTTGACTGTAGGTGAACTATAAATCCCAGCAACTACAACTCCCAAATGACAAAATCATTTTTTTAGTGAAGGACGTACATTGGGTTGTTAGGTGTCTTGTGTCCAAATTTGGAGTCAATTCGTCCAGTGGTTTTTGAGTTATGTGAATCCCACAAACGAACATGACATTGTTATTGATCTAGATAGATGGATAATAGCTAGTCCTGTTAGATCCTGGTTGTGTCTCCTCATAGGATTCCATTTGCTAATAACAAGCTGCTGGCCAAAGCCAACCTATCAAATCAGCAAATTAGTCTGTCAATCAATGGGACTGTTAACTGGGCTTTGATCCAGTGTGAAACAGCTAGGGACAGAAAAGCTATTCATTCCCATCACATTTCAACCAGACGAAAGAGGGATTTCCCAAGCACCGAGATTTCCCAACAAGGAAGTCTGCATGTTGTGGAATTTTTGTCTGGGACTTTCACTGGGTTGAATCCAATCATGTTGAAATCGATTTTCTGTCTTGGTTCTACCAAGGGAAACATTCTCCTTTTGCAATCTCTCTGGGTGGCAAAATTGTAGATAAAATTATATTTTGCGCAGAAATAATTTTTCTGTGCGGAAAAAAGTGTTTTCTGATAAAATTATATTTTGTGCAGAAATAAATTTTCTGTGCAGAAAAAAGTGTTTTCTTTTCAGAAAAGACTTTTCTTTCTTTCTCTTTCTTTCTTTCTTCTTTGCAGACTAAGGGTTCACCTACACTGTCAAATCAATGTAGTTTGACAACACAAAATAATAATAATAATAATAATAATAATAATAATAATAATAATAATATCACACAGTCCTAAACGCTTGGGAAATGTTCGACTTGGGATTTCGTGATACGAAATCCAGCATATAGATCTCATTTGCTGTGACATACTGTGTCAGTAAAATAATAATAATAATAATAATAATAATAATAATAATACACTATATTTATATTCCGCTTTCACTCTCTGGAGGGACTCACAGTGGATTACAGTACATATAAGGCAAACATTCAATGCCTTGTTACATGAACAGCAACATACAAACACAGATAAGGTAAAGACCTTCCCCTTTTTTCCATCTCCGGCGTCTGGAGGCGATGTTCAACTTCTGGCCATGGGGAGGTGCTCTTGTTCCATTTTTGCCAAAAGAGTCTTGCTGTCCTTTCTACCTTCCTACCTAAGCAGGAAGCCCCCGGTGGCACAGTGGGTTAAACCCCTGTGACGGCAGGACTGAAGACCGACAGGTTGCAGGTTCGAATCCGGGGAGAGGCGGATGAGCTCCCTCTATCAGCTCCAGCTCCTCATGCGGGGACATGAGAGAAGTCTCCCACAAGGATGATAAAAACGTCAAATCATCCGGGCGTCCCCTGGGCAACATCCTTGCAGACGGCCAATTCTCTCACACCAGAAGCGACTTGCAGTTTCTCAAGTTGCTCCTGACATGACAAAAAAACCTAAGCAGTACCTATTGCTCTATTCACATTGCATTGCTGGATTGCGAGAAGCTAAGACTCAGAATCAGGAGCTCACCCCAACTCGTGACTTTGAACTGTTGACCTCTCAGTCAACATCCTTTCCTGCAGCTAGTGGCTTTCACCGCTGTGCTACTGCATCCCATGGAATCATGGGAGTTGTAATTTGTTGAGGCACAAAGGCCTTGTATTGACTACAAATCCCAGAACTCTGTGTGGTTATAGTGAGGTCAAACTGCATTAATTCAGCAGTAAATGAGCCCGGTGAATGTCCCACACAACTAAGAATTCCACAACATTCAGACTTTCTTTTTGGGAAATCTCAATCCCTCTTTCATCTGGTTGAAATGTGACTGAATAGCCTTTCTCTCCCTAGCTGTTTCTCATTGGATCAAAGTCCAGTTAACAGTCCCATTGATTGATAGGCTCATTTGCTGGTTGTCTTTGGTCGGCAGTATATCATTAGCAAATAGAATGATATGACGAGATACAATCAGGATTTAACAGATCTAGCTACATCCTAAACTATAAGTAGTCCTCAACAAATAGGACAATTTTCACATCACTGCTAACACAATATTAACAAATATGTATATCCTTAGACACATCTTCCATTGCTTCTAAACCAATGTATGGATCCTTCCATTCCTAATGTTCTCCCTCACCCTTTTTTACAGGTACAGTCCATGTTCTAAGGAGATGTCTTCTTCTGGCTTTAATAGTTGTGAGGACTCATGCAACGGTTATGGAAGTTACATGGTGTCCGGATCTTGTGGGGGCTGTTGTGGAGGGCGGTCACTCTGCTCTGAGCCATCATGTGGTTCATCGGGGTCTTCGTGCTGTTCTGGGAGGTCAAGAGCCATGGGGAGCTGCTGCAGTCCACCGTCTCAGCAGTATTGCCCACCTATGCAAAAGTACTGCCCTCCGGTCCAACAGTGTTGTCCTCCAGTACAGAAATACTGCCCACCCCAGCAGAAGTATTGCCCTCCGGTACAGAAATGCTACCCACCCCAGCAGAAGTATTGTCCTCCAGTACAGAAATGCTGCCCACCCCAACAGAAGTGTGGTCCTCCGGTACAGAAATGCTGCCCACCCCAACAGAAGTGTGGTCTTCCAGTACAGACCTGCTGCCCACCTCAACAGAAGTGTTGTCCTCCAGTGCAGAAATACTGCCCACCCCAGCAGAAGTATTGTCCTCCAGTACAAACGTGTTACCCACCTCAACAGAAATATTGTCCTCCAGTGCAAACGTGTTGCCCTCCAGTACAGCAAAGCTGTGCGCCTCCTCAACAGTGTTGCTTACCAACCCAACAATGTGGCCAGCAAGGCTACCAAAGCTATGTCAGCATCAAAGCACCGGCGATCTGCCAGACAAAACAAGTGTGCACACCACCAGGACTTCTGAAGAAATAGCTGCTGAGGAAGATGTCCATGTGCTAATGACGACATCCTAATCTGCCTTGCAAAAAGTTGTTTCCTTTCTTCCTTCCTTCTCATGAGCCAGCAAATATATCCATCCCATGAGACAGGGACACATCTAAGCTATTACCTTGTCTATTCCAAACGGAGAAATGTTTAGCATATGGAATGAGCTTCTCAGTTGGCTGTTCCATGAGTAAAACTATTTAATTCATCTCTTCTTTTCTTATCCTCTAAATATTTATGCATCCAAGCCAATAAAATTTATTCTGAATCTACTCAAGCTTTCCCAGTCCTTTTGTTCCTCTCACAAGTATATCTTGACTGCCTTAAGATCTGTATGAACACTCTTATGCTCTCCTTCCAGTGCTTTCAGTACAACTAAAACCATGACAAAACAACAGTGTGTCTAAAATGCTGCACCAGTAGTTCCCAACCTGTGGTCTGTGGACCACCGGTGGTCCCCAAGAATGAAAATCAGGTTCACCATTACTACCTTGGTCAACTGTTCCCTGATCAAAATTGTTCCTTGGTCAAAGAGGTCCCTGGTCAAGTGGTCCCCTGGGGTCCCCTGATCAAAGTGGTCCCTGGTCAAGTTATCTCTGGTCAAGTGGTCTCTGGTCAAAGTGGTCCCTGATCAAAGTGGTCCCTGGTAAAAGTGGTCCCTGGTAAAGTGGTCCCCTAGTCAAAGTGGTCCCTGGTCAAGTTATTTCTGGTCAAGTGGTCCCTGGTCAAAGGGTCTCTGACCAAAGTGGTCCCTGGTCAAAGTGGTCCCTGGTAAAGTGGTCCCCTGGTCAAAGTGGTTCCTGGTAAAGTGTCCTGATCAAAGTGGTCCCTGGTCAAAGTGGTTCCTGGTCAAGTGGTCCCTGGTCAAAGTGGTTCCTGGTCAAGTGGTCCCTGGTCAAAGTGGTCCCTGGTCAAGTGGTCCCATGGTCAAGGATCCCTGGTAAAAAAAAGATTAGGAACTACTGCTCTACACTGTAGAATTAATGTGATTTGGACATTCAGTTCCAAACAAGACCCCTCCACCTTCCAACCAGCAATGATAACTATTGAGGACATCAGAAGAAGACATGCCTGTGATTCCTCCATTAGATCAAACTAAATTACCTACCATGACAACTAATATCTGGAGGACCAAACAATCCTCCATCCTAATCTAAGCCCTAGAAGATTAGAGTTGTCTTGGGTCTACTGGAAAATGAATTAGCAACTCCACCATTTGGGAATTGTCCTCCACAAAATGTTATTGCTTTGGGCAACAACCAGGATATCCTGGGCAATGTTGCTCTAATATAATATATTCTGCACAGAAAATATTATTTTTTGCTGAAAAATACTACATGTATTTTAGCACTGAAGAAATACTAAAATTGAGAATAATCTATAAAAACTTTAGAAACAGTGCATTTTGGGGAGACTTGTAGTGAGAAGGTTGCTTATTGCTTCCTTCCAGAAGAAATTAGACAAAGAATTACATCTCCAGTTATAGCTAGAAATATTCTTCCAAGTCCAATATTGGTGATTCCAGGGATGGAGCTGGGGACTCCTTGGACACAAAGCATCTGCTCTGTCAACAAGCTAGAGCTCCTTGAGTTGTAATGGGTCTCTTGGTCTCTCTATCTTTGTATTGTCCCTGGATTCGATTGCTGGAGGCTCCTTAGAGTAATGGTTTCCAACTGATGGTCCTCCAAGTATTTGGGACTTTAGCTACCAGAAGCCCCACAGAGGCCAGCTGTCAGGATTTTATGGAAGCTGAATCCAAAACACCTGGAGGACACAAGGTTGAGAACCATTGCTCTGGAAGTTCAAGAGAAGTTCAAGAGAACCTAACCGTAGTTTTGCTTAGCCCACATTTGGCTAGTTTGTTTGCCAGAAGGTCATGGGGGACCTTGTCAAAGAAAGGCCTTCCTGAAACCCAGATACATCCACAGCATTCCCTGCATCTACCCAGCTTGTAACTCTATACAAAAAAGAGATCAGATCAGGTCATGTGGTGGGCTTCCATGGCCAACCATGGACTCAATCCTGGCATCTCTAATAGTTCAACATCCAAACTATTATGCTATGATGACTCCCAGATAATGCCTGGATTGTGTTGTTGTTGTGTGCCTTCCCCTCAACTCCAGCTGAATCCCAAAAAACTGGAGGACACCAGGTTGGGAACCATTGCTCTGGAAGTTCAAGAGATTAAAACTGGAGACTTCTTTATTGAAAGTTCTCCCATGAGAAGATCCTTCTAATTGATGTTGCATGCCTTCAAGTAACCAGGTTGGGAACCATTGCTCTGGAAGTTTCCAACTAATGGTTTCCAACTGATGGTCCTCCAAGTATTTGGGACTTTAGCTACCAGAAGCCCCACAGAGGCCAACTGTCAGGATTTTATGGAAGCTGAATCCAAAACACCTGGAGGACACAAGGTTGAGAACCATTGCTCTGGAAGTTCAAGAGAAGTTCAAGAGAACCTAACTGTAGTTTTGCTTAGCCCACATTTGACTAGTTTGTTTGCCAGAAGATCTTGGGGGACCTTGTCAAAGGAAGGCCTTCCTGAAATCCAGACATGCTACATCCATAGCATTCCCTGCATCTACCCATCTTGTAACTCTATCCAAAAAAGAGATCAGATCAGGTCATGTGGTGGGCTTCCATGGCCAACCATGGACTCAATCCTGGCATCTCTAATAGTTCAACATCCAAACTATTATGCTATGATGACTCCCAGATAATGTCTGGATTGTGTTGTTGTTGCGTGCCTTCAAGTCAACTCCATCTCATGGTGATGAGTCATTGCCATTGATCCCATAGAAAATGGCATCTGAAATTTGCCATGGAGAGCCACCGCTGAAAAAATACATTATTATTCCAGCTACATTATTAGCAATGCATTCTTCCTCAGCTGAAGCTGTCCAGCTCACAAATGTTCAATTGCTTCCCCGTGACGTCTTAATTTTCTGGCCATCAGATGACTCGAACGTGGAGATGAGAATTTTTAAAATCAATCTTCTTTTTCAATTCTAATTGCATCTCTACCAATGCTGACATTTGACATCTGCAAGTCAACCCCATTCATTATTGCTCTGGTCACTCATTGATAAATTCATAACAGCATTTGATGGAATTCAGCCTTCTGGCCTTTAGTTGAATATTCGCATGGGATATACAAGGGAGGAAATAGGTAACGCATGACAGAAGTGACAAGGCATCACGCCAGCATATGGGACAATGCTAATTCAACCAGGTATGGATATGGAACAGTCTGAGCCATGCCACCCTCAAAACCCTATATTAAGAGCGCTATTCCTATTCACTTCCACAGACGTCCTCTGCAACATCAGTTAAGACAGACTGTAAGTAACTGTTATTATTTTTAATAAGCAATAATACAAGTTTCAATGTTGATCTTGAGGGGGGGAGGTGTTAAATTATAGCTTCTAGAAGCCCTCAACCAATGTAGATTTGTGGAGTTGAAGACCAAATATAAGGACCTTCCCAAACTCTGTGGCAAAGAAATGAATGCTTTCTAGAGGAATCGTTATACGTAGGGCTGGGCGGTTTCGTTCGTTAATTTCGTAATTCGTTATTTATTCGTATTTAAATTAGCTTACGATCCGATATTGAGCCATGCAGGAGCAACTAAAAATCGAAACGAATTTTTCAATTTATTTCGTAATTGTTTCGTAATTGGTTCGAAATCGTTTTGAAATCATTTCGTAATTATTTCCGTATGTCTGGTGCGAGTTTTAATAGTTGTTGTTTGTTTTATCAGTGATAAAAAAATAAATTATCACACCAACAGTCAACAACAGAGGGAGAGGGAAGCTTCAGAATTCCCCCCTGTCCCATTTGGAGGGATTTTTAGCGTATTGTGCAATCGCGTCCGCCATTAACGAATCAATTCGAAATTTACGAAATTTCGTAAATAACGAAAACATTTTAAAGAAAAATTCGGACTTCTTTTAAAAACGAAACGCAATGGACCCCCTAAAAACGAAACGAGTTTAGAATCAAATTTTTCCGTTGTTACCCAGCCCTAGTTATACGCTACCTTGACAAGTCCATACATGTCTCTGGTCATATTATTATCCTGAAATCATTTTATAGACTTAAGGCTTAAACTTTGAATAGTCTTCAAAAATGAGACAATTTTAAAGGATTTTTTCCACATCCAGGAGAAAAAAATAATTTGGGGGGGGGGAGGCAAGGGGCAATTTCTGCAAGCGCAAAAAAATCAACAAAATTTAGAAACAATGTTCTACATTCATCCCAAACTAATACATGAATTCGTCCATTTCTAATGTCTGTCCTGCTCTTCATTTCTACAGGACTAATCTATGATTCCATTCATCGTGCAGATGTTGTCAAAAATGTTCCTTTTCCGAATTGGGTGGAAGATGTTACGGGTCTTCGTTCGCATGATTGCCTCCCTAACAAGGTGCCGCGATCGCTTCCTGGTTGTCGATGAGGGCAAGAGCAATGGTGGAACGGAGCAGCCCTCCACCTCAGTAGCATTGGCCAACTACGCAACCATAGAGCCCACCAAGGAAAACGTCCTCTCCTCCAGCCCAGCAGTGTCTTCCTCCAGTATAGAAATGTTGCCCACTCCAGTAGAAGGATCGTCCTCAAGTACAGAGAACCTGTCCACCCCAGCAGAAGAATTGTCCTCCAGATCAGATACCCTGCCCAGCACACCAGAAGAATTGTCCTCCAGTACAGACACAACATCCACCCCAACAGATGAATTGTCCTCCAGATCAGATACCCTGTCCAACGCACCAGAAGAATTGTCCTCCAGATCAAACACCATGTCCACCCCAACAGAAGAATTATCCTCCAATACAGACACGTCCACCCCAACAGACGAATTGTCCTCCAGAGCAAACACCATGTCCACCCCAGCAGAAGAATCATCTCTCAGTACGGACATCATGTCCAACCCAAAAGAAGAATTGTCCTCCAGTACAGACACAATGTCCACCCCAACAGAAGAATTGTCCTCCAGATCAGATACCCTGTCCAGTACACCAGAAGAATTGTCCTCCAATACAGACTCAATGTCCACGCCAACAGAAGAATTTTCCTCCAGGTCAGACATCATGTTAACCCCAACAGAAGGCTTTTCCCCCAGGTCAGACACCATGTCCACCCCAAAAGAACAATTGTCCCCCAGGTCAGACACCATGTCCACCCCAACAGAAGACTTTTTCCCCAGGTCAGACACCACGTCCACCCCAACAGAAGACTTTTTCCCCAGGTCAGACACCACGTCCA